GAAAGACCTCTGCCTGTGGTCTCTGGTAGTGACTACCGGAACTTAGCAGAGTGCCTTAGGAAAATGTTCTTAGTACTGTTATTCAAATCAGGTGCCTATTCCTTGTTCGAGGCTGATAAGTAGAGCTTTTCCTAGGCCACAGCGTGTACCAGTGAATGGGGTAAGAACTCAGAGCCTCGCTGAGACCTAGGATGGTAGCAGTGTCATCATAAACTTGTAAATGTATCAGGACAATGGAACCGCCCGGCGCATTTCCAAGGCACACTGGCTGCACACAGAGGACAGCTGTCCTGTTCCCACGGAGGGACCGTGAGGCCGGGCTCTCAGAGAAGGCTGGAGGTGGGTCTGTATCTGAGCTGGATTCACAAGGTTTAGGGCCTTTCCAGGCAGGGCAATGAAGGGGTGAGGATTCTAGGACTAGGGGCACAGTGTGTAACGGGAGAGTGCCACGGGGTTGTTTGGGGGGAGCAGAAGGAATCGGGCATTGGAACGGGAAGCGTGAGGGGCGGAGTGCAAGGCTATGGAGTTAAAGAGGTGAGGGGATATCCGCTCAGGAAGGGAACCCATACAGGAAGTCACTGGGAGACTGCAGGTTTAAAGCAGGAAGAATTCATGTTCATATATGCCTTGCCGTCTGTTGCTTGTGTGTCCAATATTTCTGACAATATAAAGATTACCCAGGTTCACATCTCAGCTTTGTCACTAACTAGCTCTGTGACCTTGGGCTACTTACTTAACTACTCCTTGCCTCAGTTTCTTGATCAGAAAATGGGGTTAATGATAATACTTACACAATAAGTTTGTTCTGAGGATTAAATAAGCCGATATATGCAAAGCACTTATTATAGTGGCTGGCAGGTCCCGTAATGCCAGCTATCATTATTATTTTTTTTTAATTGGGTAACAGTATGTTTTTTTGAAGGACCCATCAGTTCCATGTGAAGCCATTGTCCTTCAGTCTAATTGTGGAGCCTGCAAGCTCAGCTCCAAGTCCAGTTACCGTTTTCAATTTGGTTGTGGGGGGTGCAGCCCACCATCCCATGTGGGAATCGAACTGGCAAGCTTGTTGTTAAGAGCACAAGCTCTCACCAACTGAGTCATCCAGCCGCCCACCAGCAGCTCAACTCAAGTCATTGTCTTCAATCTACATGCAGAGGGCGCAGCTCACTGGCCCATGTGGGAATCAAACCGGCAACCCTGCTGCTTAAAGCTCGCGCTCTAACCAGCTGAGGCACCCGGTAGCCCTGTCATTATTCTTAAAGTGATTTTAACATGAGAGAACTGAGGCACAGAGAGGTTGTGTGACTTTCCCAAGTTTAAACAGCTAATCAATGGGAGAGGTAGGATTTGAACCAAGGAAGTATGGTTCTGTAAACCATGTATTTAATCACTATTCAGTACTTCCTGTCTCAATACATGACTTAGGTTTCTTCTTTAATATGATCAAATCTTGCTTTACAGAATAGGACAACTTCAATTTTATTATCAAATAATAGTAGCCAATGACTGAATTTTACTGACTTATCTAGTCATGTATCTCATGGCTTTAAGAAAATTTTTGTTATAACCAATGCCTATGTTTATATAGAAGTAGATGTTTTATACAGAGATATATAACATTTTACTATATATTTATATAAATATTTTATTATGCATGCTAATTATACTACCTATGTAAATATGTATTAATAGTAAAATGTTTCACCCACATGGCCACCCATGGCTTTTGCAATGCCATGAATCTGTGGTGATGAGTTGCATCTATTTTGTTACAAATTTGATATCATGGAAAAGAGATATAGACCAATGCATATGTTCACTTCAAGTGATTTTCCTCCGTCTGTTGTGATCAGTGGATTCTAGCACCCCTCAGAATCTCTGCCAATAGATCAATGTCCTTTTGTAAAGATGACTTTACTCCTGGGTTTTGCCACGCAGCATTTCCCATTACACAGAGGATTGTGCTGAGTCACGAAGCAAAGAATGACCAGAATGGCCAAGGATGGAGCACAGAGGGTAAAATTCAACTCGGACAGTGTCTCATCCTCAACAGGGTAAGACTCTTTCTTCTCTTTCTAGAAAGTCAGAGGGCCTTATTAACCAATCCCTTGTTACCTGCTGAGATCTGCACCCTGCTTAGTGCCCCAGATTCACCCCCACACCTCTGCTTCTACTCCGTCCTGCAGTTAGATACACTTAGAGATTCTGAATGCCCCGATGCTCTCTAATTGCCCTGATATTTTGTGTACTGTTCTCTGCACTTGAAATACCTTTTCCCCCCAATGTGTCTCCCTTGCTAATCCATATCTTTAGGCAACCCTTCACAGACTCTCCCCTCCGTGTTTGTTTGCTAGGGCTGCTGTAACAAAGGACTGGGGTGGGGTGAGGGGTGGTACTGGGGGGGCGGGGCCTAAGCAGCAGAAATGTATTGTTTCACAGTCCTGGAGGCTTGAAGTCCAAAATCAAGGTGTTATGAGGGTAGGTCTCTTGTGAGGCTTCTCTCCTGGTGTGTAGATGGCCTCTTCTCCCTGTGTCCTCACATGGTCTTCCCTCTCTGTGGTCCATATCCTGATCTTCTCTTCTTATAAGGACACCAGTCATTGGATTAGATAACACTCTGTTGACCTCATTTTAACTCAGTTTCATCTTTCATGACCCTATCTCCAAATACAGTCACATTCTGCGGTACTGGTGGTTAGGATTTTAACATATGGATTTAGGGAGAGAGGCAACACACGTCAGCCCATGACACGTTCCAACCTTCATGAAGTCCCTTCTGGTGAGACTCCCAGAATGTAATGAACGTCTCTCTTCAACCTTAGTTTACCTGTGTTGTGATTCTGTGCTCACTTGTCATCTTCTGGAGACGGTGGGCTCCCAAGTCAGGGCCTGACTTGCATTGGTCCTCTTTTCTGCATTGTATGGCTTCCTAACAGTGTGGTGGCTAATAAAAACAAAACAAAAAAAACTGTTAAATACTCATAGATCCAGGAAAAAGGGAGAAACTTAACTCAGATATCTATCTATCATCTATCTAGATAGCTATCATCTATCTAGCTAGCTATCATCTATCTATCATCTATCTTCTATCATCTATCTATTATCTATCATCCATCTAATCTCCCAGGTACTTCTTATTTATTTATTCATTTATTTATTTATTTACTTTTTATTAGTTTCAGGTGTGCAAAACAATGTAATAGTTAGATATTTCACCCTTCACAAAGTGATAACCCCCTTCCCCAATCTATTGCCCCTCTGACATCGTATATATCTATTCTTAATGACCATTATTTAGTTAGATTTGAGGTCTATCAGCTATTTTATACTTGAACAATTATTTAATGATTTTGACTTTTTAAATCAACTTTCAAAAATGACACTTGGCTTCTATTTTTGTTTGTTTCCTTTCCTTTTTTAGGTAGTTCAGGTATTTTTAGGGATTTTAAAGAAGCCCCTGTATTGTGCAATTAGCAACTGTTATCTATGACTATGAGGCGCAGAGTCTGGTTGATTTTCTGCATGAACTGTGACTCACTCTGCCTTTAGGAGATCAGGTGTGTGGTTCCAGATTGGTGAGCTAGAAAAATAATAAATCCCTGGTTTATGGAAAGCACAGTTTGATCTCTAACCAAATACAGCTTTAGGAAAAGGAGCCATCAAGTTACATGATTTCAAACCTCTTGTATTGACTGAACTTCATCCATCACTAGGTGACCTTCTGAGGAGATGGAAAGGGCTAGGAAATGAACAATGGGAAACTGGGCGAGAGTGCAGGAGGAGGGTGTAGTGGACAAGGAGAGACAAAGAGAATACCTGCAGGATGAGACCTTTGCTGCAGGTGTACATCTCCTGTGCCCCTCCCCCCCCACACACACACACTGTCCTGCCTGTGCTGGCCACAGCCACCACATTGACTTCAGGTGCTTAATGACCCACTGAGGGAACAATGACCATGGAAGACACCTTTGAAAAATTTCCCCTGATTCAGCCAAGTGTTTAACTCCTCATTAATTCTGATGATGTAAACCCTTTGTGATTAGAGTGGCTGTTAAATATCTTCTCACCAGTGTTGATAAAGTGCAAGAAATTTCATTCTCTTAGACCTCTGAACTCTACCTGGGGTTAACACTTCATCAGTGCCGATAAGCGGAGAGAAATTGCCTCTCCAACTTCCCAACTGGTGAGTTCTTGTATTTAACCTGTGCCAAGCTCACACAGGGCATTTTTAAAGCACTTCTGCCCCCAAAATGCTACATCATACACACACACACACACACACACACACACACACACACACACACACACATACACGCACGCACACACACGAAGCTTTCATCCATTTATTAAAATGGATTATGTGACAAGTACACATCCAAGATTAATCTGAATGAGTCCAAACGTGAGAACATACATGTGACCAAATACGGGAAACTGGTTTTATTGTCCCAGGGGCTTGAAAAGGCAAATAAACATCTAGCATTTTTCCTCCTTCCACTGTTCCTTCAAACCCACTCTCTGCAATGATGTTTTCTCTATTTAAGTTTGAAAGTTTAGAAATGTTCCACGGCTTTCCTGCTGATTCAGATAACATCCCATCATTCCATCACTTCTTGGCATTAAAAATCTACTCTGGTTTAATAATCAAATACCTTCAGGTCAGTTATTGCAATAATAAACGTTCTGAACTCTTAGTCAGTGTGAAGCCCTGAACCTTACTTAGCCTTGAACGTTGTCAGTGGACAGTGGGCCAAAGCTGGCTTCCTTCTCTTCCACCTCATCTTCTTTGGCTGCTATTCCTATTGTTTTCAGAGGGACAGACCACTGGAGGGACATGGCTGGCGGAGGTTTCAGCTGGCATCACTGCCCTTTAGACGTCAAATGTCCTTTACATGGTTCTTTCTTCCACTGAGTAATTTTGTCAGTTTCTCAGAGATCTTTTCCCAGGAACCTCAACTGCAGTTTCCTTAATTTGGGTGGTGCGTCTTTTCTAACTGGCTGTCTATGCCCATAGGGCTTGCCGGAAGGGTGTCTTCATGGCATTGTTCTCCTCTTTGCTTTGATCTCAGGAAAGACAGCTCCTGAGCTGTCTCTCACTTCCAGACTTTTCCTAGCCAGAACCAAAGTACAACCCTATGTTCTTCTCATTCCAGAGAAACCCGTGTCAAGCGCTCTGAGAGATCCCCTTGTAACTACCACTTCCCTTAGTTGGGATCAGTGAGGGGTACAGAGAATACCAGTGGTTCTCTTCAGGACAGGCCTCCCTTCTAGACCATTTCCAGCTCAAGTAGATCCTTGGTAAGACAGACCTTCCCCTGTGAGTAGGTGTTGATGAGAAATGATTCTTCTGTGCACAATTTATTTATTCATTTTTATTTTTATTATTTATTTTATTACCCTTCACCTTTCCCCCCCTTTTAAAATGTTTGAATTACAGTTGACATTCAATATTATTTTATATTAACTTCAGGTGTGCAGCATAGTGGTTATTAGACATTTATATAATTTAAGAAGTGATCTCCCTGACTAGTATCCACCTGGCACTATACAGTTATTACCATATCGTTGGCTATATTCCCTATGCTTTACTTTACATCCCTATGCCTACTTTGTAACTACCAATTTGTTCTTCTTAATCTCCTCACTTTTTTCACCCTGTCCCCTGCCCTCTCTTATCTATAACCCCAACAATTCTAGAACCCATCTGACACAATACATTGTTATTGCAATATTATTAACTATATTCCTTATGCTATACCCTACATCCCCATGACTACTTTGTAACAACCAATTTGTACTTCATAATTCCTTCCCCTTTTCACCTACCCCCAAGTCCCACCTCTCACCTGGAAACCATCAAAATGTTTTCTGTATCTATGAATTTGTTTCTGTTATGTTTGTTTATTTTGTTCTTTATAATAGATTCCACACGTCAGTGAAGTTATATTGCATCTGTCTTTCTTGGACACTGCACTCAGCACAATACCCTCCAGGTCCATCCATGATGACACCACAGATGGCAAGAACCCATTCCCTTCCATGGCTGAGCAATATTCCATTGTATATATGTACCATGTCCTCTTTACCCATCCTTCCATTGACAGACACCCAGGTTGCCTCCACATCTTGGTCATTGTAAACAGTGCTGCAATGAACACATGGATACACATGTCCCCTTGAAGTGGTGTTTTGGATTTCTTCAGATATATACCCTGAAGTGGGATTACTGGGTCCTTCTTTGTCTCTTGTTACAGCCTTTGTTTTAAAGTCTGTCTGGTATAAATATTGCTACTCTGCCTATGCTAAACCTGGAGTCACATGGGAGAGGCTGCACTGCGGACTGAGGACAGCTGCCTCCAATACTGGGCCTGGGGTAGCTCCTCAGAAATCCAGGAAACCCCAAGGCCTGCTGCCACCTGCCGGCTCCCTTATGGTTCAGCCACTGATCAAGCCTCATGTGGGACACAAGTTGGGTGAGGCAAGGTCTGAGGGAGTCACTAGAGTGGGAAGAGTTGTGGTCACCAGGTTAATGTAGATCCTGGTTTGGTGCCAGTGCTGAGCCTGGAGCTACTCAGCAGAAGTCTCAGAGCACACGGAGGCCAGTCGCCACCCACCTGGGGCCCATGGACTTTGATAGTTTCCCAAGAAAGAGTTCAGTGCAGGTGGTGTTGGCTGCTCACAGAGAAAGTGCCTCCAGGGTTGGGGAGTTGGGTAAGGCGAGTTTCAAGTGAGTCATCAGGGTGGAGCAGCGGAGCTCACCAGGCCAATCAGATTCAGATTTGGTCTGTGGGGGAGGGCTTAACATCGAAAAGATGGCGACTGCCTGCTGGCTGCTCAGGAAGAGGCTCTCTCATGGATAAAATGTCATCCGTCCTCCAGCTCTCTCTCTGAAAGCCACATAACTAAGTCTGTCTCCAGTATGCCTCAGACGTGCCCTGAGTCACTGTCTGCTGGAGTCCAGGGTGAGTGCCTGCAAATGAGTGAGTCTGTGCACCGGTCCCTTAAAAGGATGCCTCCGCTTCTCCCAGGCTTCCGTCCCACCTAGATGGTTGGA